TATGTAGATTCTAGAGGGTGCCAAACATCTTCCCCTAGAAAAATAAGAACCATTACCCAAATGATACCGGTTAGCAAACCAATAGGATAGTGATCTTAACAATTGAATAGGTACCCTAGTATACCTTTAAATATTAAGTGGCGACTCTCTTTTATCATCAACAGGGAAACCACTAGTTGAATCTTGTTTTGACTCGTGCAAAATAGGGTGCAACAGCATGTTTTTCCTCTCAGTAGGGATCATGATTGTTGTGATGAGACAAATCATTAAATCTTGTCTCATACCGGGTGATTGTTTTACCACCCTGCTAAAGATGATCAAACTAATTGAGTATTTCATCTCTGTAAGTGAGCAGAATGAACTTCTCCAAGAAAAGCTGTAAAAATTGAGTCCAATTTCTGGTCTATCCAACTCAAACGTTTGCCACCACCTTTTTGCCAAATGCTACATCTGGAAAATAGTGAAGTCCATCCCATTGTACTCAACCAGTCCCAAATTGCACAAGATCTCATAACATCGGTCAAAGAACTCTCGGTGTCCTCTAGAGGCATACCGATGAAATGAGAAGGGAACAATTTTTGATACTTGTCCATCCTCTTTTGTGTCATGACCCCGGTTCGCCCTACGTGAACCATCATGACGGAACCTTATCTCTACGACTAGGTAATCCTAATTTGCGGAAGAAAAACCAAAATTTGCGGAAGTAAACAATTTAAAATAGAAATAAAGTAGTAATAGTGTTTAAATGTGCCGCTCGGCATACACCATGTTTAACTCTCAATACCAAACATAAAACCAAGACCCGGAAACCCATGAATCACAAGCTAAGATCAATACTACATAGCTCTAACTCCGGAATGTCTAATAAGAACAGGAAGGTACAGAAGGGCTAAATACTAAAAGCAGGAATAGAAAGGGACTTCTCGGTCTGGGGATGCGGCAGATGTACCACGAAGTCTCTAGAGTGGTCGCCTCCCTCAAGGATAGTAAACCTGATCAGTGGTACCTGGATCTGCACATGAAAAACATGAGCAGAATAGGCATGAGTACACCACAGCGGTACTTAGTAAGTGCCAAGCCTAACCTCGGTCGGGTAGTGACGAGGATGGTCAGGGCCCTATTGAGGTTAAATACAATATAAGGGTTAACAGTATGGAATAAAACAGTATAAATAAGTGCAACGGTAAGAAATAACATAGAATTGAAAGAACCCACAACAACTAGAACAGGGATAAACAAACCACGAAAAGAAATACAGCTCAACACAGAGATAACAACTAGGGCACCTTCCAGGATACCATCCTATGATCCCAATTACAACTATCTAGTGGATCTCCCGGGATACCGTCTCGTAGTCCATCATATATATGTCTGAAGGATCTCCCGGGATCCCGTCCCATAGTCCAACTATCAATGCGTAGGGGATCTACCGGAAATCTCGATCCGTAGTCCCCAAATATAAATACCCAATACTGGGGGAATTCACCGGATGCATTCCCGTAGTTCCATATAACTGTGCAGGGGGATCTATCGGGAATCTAACCCGCAGTCCCAAAGTAAATGTGTAGGGGGGTCTATCAGGAATCTAACCTGCAGTCCCAAAGTAAACAGACAAGGGGGAGCTACCGAAATCCCACATCTGTAGTCCCAATGTAAATACACAGCGACCACAAGAAAATATTCAGTGAAGGGAATTTCATATTAAGGCAACAGATAATTTTAGCCTAGCATGCTGCACAAAGGTCAGGTAAACAGATTGAACAATTAAAGTAATTAAATCACTTAGACATGCTTTTCGAAGCTAACAACAGGCTTAACAGTGCAAGTAATAAAAGCAGGAAAAGAAACATGCTAATGAATACTTTAAGAAAATCGGGTTTACAACAATTTGCACAAGTGCGCGCTCGTCACCTCACGCACAAGGCAATTCAGTTACCAAATATACCAATCCTAAGGGGAAGGTCCCCCACACAAGGTTAGACAAGCCACTAACCTCGAACCGGCTCAAAGTCAACCTGAAACCACGCTCTTGCCACGAGTACTCGACTCCAAATGGCCCAAATCTATTCAATTCAATCGCATAATGTAAATAACACTTCAAGTAACTGATTCTACAATTAAATTCTAAGTTAATATGCGAAATTATGTAAAATGACCAAAATGCCCCTCGGGCCCATATCTCGGAATCGGGTGAAATTTATATTTTCAGAAACCTAGTACTCTCACGAGTCTATACATAATAAGAACACTGAAATCAGAGTCCAAATGACCCCTCAAATCCTCATTTAAAGGCCTCTTAAACTCAAGCCTTAATTACCCATTTTCCCGAATTTCTCACCACTAATTAGGTCTTTAATCACATAAAAATGAGTTATGAAGTCAAGGATGTTACCTCCAGGTAATTCCCCTTTGTTTTTCTCAAAAATCTCTCTTAAAAGCTTCAAACCCGGATGAAAATGGTGAAAGCATCCCTCAAATTCGTGAAGGTAACTATTTATATGTTCTGCCCAGCGATTTCTGCATTTGCGACCCTGGGACCGCATCTGCGGTCCCGCTTCTGTGAAAACTACGTCGCATCTGCGACTTTCATTTAAATACCAGAAACAGCATTTGCGATTACCTTTTCGCAGATACGACATCGCTTCTGCGGTGTGACTTCCGCATCTGCGGAACCTGAAGTAAAGGCAAAAATCCGCTTCTACGGTCCCTCAACCGCTTCTGCGGCGCCGCATCTGCGGTCCCCAAACCGCAGATGCGAAAATACCAGAAGCAGCAAAAATAGAGCAACTACAACATTTTCTAAATTTTCTCGTTAACCCTCCGAAATCACCCCGAGGCCCCCTGGACCTCAACCAAAGGCATCAACATATCCTAAAACCTTATTCAAACTTGTACCAATCCTTAAAACACCTAAAACAACGTCGAAACCTCGAATTAACCAAGGATTTAAGCCTAAGAACTCCAAATTTCTCAAAATATGCTTTCCATCAAAAAGTCTATCAACCCTCGTCCGAATGACCTAAAATTTTGCACACACGTCACATTCAACCCTACAGAGCTACTCCAACTTTCGGAATTCCATTTCGACCCTCGGGATCAAAATCTCACTATCGAACCAGAAACTCCAAAAATCCAACCTTCGGCATTTCAAGCCTAAATTACCTACGGACCTCCAAATCACCATCCGAACATGCCCCTAAACCCAAAATCACCCAACGGAGCTAACAGAACCATCGGATTTCCGAGGCCGTCTTTACATTGTTCCAACTACGGTCAACTTTCCAACACTTAAGCTCTCATTTAGGGACTAAGTATCCCAAAACTCTCCGAAACTTAAAATCCAACATCCCGGCAACTCAAAATAGCAGAAATAAACTTGGGGAAAGCAGTTAATAGGGGATCGGGGCGTTAATTCTTAAGACGACCAATCGGGTCATCACATTTTGCTCATTAGCAGACATCGCAGGCCTAATCACATGCTCAGCTTCAGCGTCGGAAGTCACTGGGGTCTAAACTCCCCCATCTGTCTGAGAACTTTTTGAGGCCATAGGGACAACTCTATCCTGGACCATACTATCAATAAAGCTCACTATCTTGATTGTGGGCTCCTAAAGAGCTGGTGCATAAACAAGCTAAGTCCCTCTGGAATGTGATCTGGTACTGGTACCTCAACTTGCTCATCAATAGATCCACCTCTCGGTCCACGGGTGGTTTGATAATACTGCCTTCGGGCATGCACGAGCTTCAGTGGATGCTCCATCAATAGGTGCAACTAGGTGGCCTTTAGTTGGTGCCTAGATCTACGTCGGGGCCCACTTTTCCTGGCTCTGGCCGGAGGTATTAGCTTTCTGCCATCCGTTATTGTAGTTGAACGTGTCTTCACCATTTGTGAGAGAATAGAAAAAGAGAAATTCAAATTTTCAGACAGATCAACCGCACGATAAGGAATGAAAAGAAAGGGAAGCTTCCTAAAAGCCTTATAGCCTCTCGAAGATAAGTATAAACATCTCCATACCGATCCTCAAGACTCTACCAAACTTACTCATGACTCGTGAGACCCTTGGAACCTAGATCTTTAATACTAACTTGTCACAACCCAAAATCACAACCAACGGGTTGTGATGGCGCCTAACACCACTTGCTAGGCAAGCCAACACTTAACAATAATAAAAGAAGCAAAACTAAACGTTTAATAGCATAATATCATAAATAAAGAGTGAAAGCTCCTAAATCAAATATTAAGTCTAAAACCATCACAACTATCTACATAACTCCCCGAGACTGGTATCACTGAGTACATGAGTTCTAAAGAGTGCTAAATACAAAGTTTGAAATAATACAATATTGTCTTATACAAATAAACAGTAGTATAGATAATTAAGGTGACTCCAGAGTCTACGATCGGATATATGACACTACCTCAAGTCTCCTAAGTATCCAAGCTAAGCACCTCTAGGGACTCCATTGATACCAGCGCCTGAATATGCATGAGTACAACCGATGCAATGTACTCAGTAAGTGTCAATCATAACCTCGATGAGGTAGTAATGAGGCACAGATAAGACACCTACTATATAAACCTATATAGTTAATAAGTAAGAGAAATAACAAAAAAGTAATAAGAATAAATACGAGAAATAGTAAAATAATCCTACTAAAAGAAATAATGAACATGTTACTCAAATATCACAACCAAACCTTTCTCAACAGCTCGAACCCAAGATTTCAAAATATAGTCAAAATCCCCAAAAAAATCTCTTTAAATCTCATGATTTACATGTTAAATCTCATAAATAATCATGTTATATAATCAAAAATACTTACGCAATAGTTTGGTATGAAATCTCTCCTCAAAATCGCCTCCCACCGAGTCTAGGGCTCAAAAATATTATAATGAAGCTAAGTCCCGAAATACCCAGCTATAAACAAGCTACGGATGTCGCATTTGCGACCTTGAGTTTGCAAATGCAAACATCGCAAATGCGACCCTTGACTCGCAAATGTGGAAGCTGACCAACCCAGGCAATGCCGCAAATATGACTATAACCTCGCAAAAGCAAGGTCTGCCATTATCGAAAATGCGATCAGTGAGTCTGCAAATGCGATTAGTGATATCACAAATGCAAACTCTCCAGCCCTAATCACCTCAAAAATACAGTCCCTCCTCGCAAATGCAAGGTCTAAAAATGCGAAAAAAATTCTCTCGTTTGCGAGACCTACAACATCAACCAAAAATCCAGCAAAAATACTCTGAAATGCATCTAAAAATCGTTCGAGCACCCGAGGCTCCTCGCCAAACATCCATACAAGTACATAAACATCATACAAACTCCCCCGCGATCTTGGATCACCGAAATAATATATGAAACCACGGATCGAACACCAATATATATGGAAATCACCATGAAACTCAAGAACTTCTAAAAAATACAACCACACGTTTGATTCCTATCGAACCAATTCGGAATGACGCCAAACTTTGCCGACAAGTTCCAAATGATAAAACAAACTTATTCCAAGTCCCAAAACTAAGATTCGAATCCGATAACCATAAAGTTAAACCATGGTCAAATATAGGATATTTTTAAACCTTCAAATTGCTAACTTTCGCCAAAATATGCCAAACCAACCTAGAAACTTTCGAATTCAATTTTGGGCATACGTCTAAGTCTAAAATCACCATGAGGACCTAACGGAACCATTAAAACATCGATCCAAGATCAAATACGCAAAAAGTCATACTTGATCAACTCTTCCAACTAAAAGCTTCTAAAATAAAAATCATTCTTTCAAATCAATATAAATTGTAGGAGATTGGCTTAGATCCTACAAAAAAAGTGAAAATATAATTCTAAAATGACTAATATTCAATTAATATATTATAACAAAGACCTTTATTTATAAAAACAATATAGGGAGCTATCATTTGTTAGAAGATGTAACGACCCGCCCAGTAGTTTTGAGCTTTAGCGCTCCATTCGGTGGTTTGAGACTTTGAGTGGCTTCATATGACGTATTATGACTTGTGTTTATGGTCAATTTTTATTTTTGAGTGGTTCTAGATAGATTTGGAAGAATGACTCTCAATTTGGAAGATTTAATTTGGAAGAGCTAACCAAGGTTTGACTTTTTGAAAACGGACTCAGAATCGGGTTTTGATGGTTCTGATAGGTTTGTATAGTGATTTTGGACTTGTACATATGTTTGAATTTGGTTTTGGAAGTTCCTAGAAGAACTCGACATTGTTTGTCAAAAGTGGGCAATTTGAAGAACTTAAGAGCTCTTCCTCCTCCGTCTCCTCCGCCGTCCTCCTCCATTAAAAACCCTACAAGTATGGAGTCGAGTTCGGAGCTGGTGAGATCGATTGAATCGGAGTTAGGAGTGTCGTTGGGGAGCGATACGGTGTTGGTGCTACTGACGATNGGTCCTTGCACACTGCGTGCTGCACTTGCACGTTTTGCAGATCTTCTGAATCCTCCGCGGAAGGCTACTTTGGTTGCATTGGTTGCCCATGCAGCTGAACCTAGTGAAGCAGAAAAGCTCAAGTTCTTGGCATCTCCACAGGGCAAGGATGAGTATTCTGCATGGGTTGTTGCAAGTCAAAGAAGTCTTCTTGAAGTAATGGCTGAGTTCCCTTCGGCAAAGCCTCCCCTAGGTGTATTTTTTGCAGCGGTTGCCCCTCGTTTACAGCCTCGTTACTATTCAATCTCGTCATCTCCTCGATTTTCTCCTGCTATAATCCATGTGACTTGTGCACTAGTCTATGGTCCAACTCCCACTGGCCGAATTCACAAAGGAGTGTGTTCGACTTGGATGAAGAATGCAGTTCCATTGGAAAAAAGTCAAAATTGCAGCTCTGCTCCAATCTGCATTAGGCCATCTAATTTCAAGTTACCGGTTGACCCTTCAGTTCCAATTGTCATGGTAGGACCTGGTACTGGTTTGGCACCATTTAGGGGATTCCTGCAAGAAAGAGCAGCATTGAAGGAAGATGGGGCTCAACTTGGTCTTGCTTTGTTGTTTTTTGGTTGTAGGAATCGTAGAATGGATTTTATTTATGAGGAGGAGCTTCTGAGTTTTGTGGATCAAGGTGTAATATCAGAGCTGATTATTGCATTTTCAAGGGAAGGACCCCAGAAAGAGTATGTTCAACATAAAATGCTGGAAAAGGCTTCCCATGTTTGGAGTTTAATATCCCAGGAGGGATATCTATATGTATGTGGGGATGCGAAAGGGATGGCCAGGGATGTACATCGTACGCTCCATACCATAGTCCAGGAGCAGGTATATGGCTTTATTCATCTGCTGGACCTGAATACATCATTTACTGTAAATCCAGCAATTTTATCTGTCTGTTAAATGATGGATGATTTGATATCTCATTGTCCTGATAGGCAGGAACTTATTCTTGTTGCTTTAGCTGTATCTTATTTAGTTATTTTGTTTAAATCAAATCCAGGATAAGGTCGACTCAACCAAAGCTGAGGCTATTGTGAAGAAACTCCAAATGGATGGAAGATATCTCAGGGATGTGTGGTGATCATATTAAGGCCAGCACGTTTGGTCCCATTTGTTTACTTTTAGCAAAGCTTGGTAAGGTCCTCCTCTCAGTTGCTTTGAGTTCCAGCAGCTAAAAAGATTATTACAGTCAATAGCCAAGGTCTGGATTCACTGCAACATCTAAGTTTTGTCTACTAAATTGGTTATTACTCTTTCATTGGAGCAGATATAATAACTTTAAAGTTCTGATTAATTTTTTATAAGAGATTCAGGACTGATACAAAAATTGTTATATTTAGTTGGTTAAAACAATCCCAAATCATGTTGTAATATGTATGGAAGACTTTTTTAAGAATAGCTGTATAAATGAAGGGCGGGTAAAAAAAAAGAACTTAAGAGTTCATAAGTTTGACCAAGAGTTAACTTTAATGTTATTGGACTCCAGTTGGTGTTCCGAGACATATTATAGTTGAATTGAAGTTGTGTGCAATGTTTGGAAGTAATCCAAAGCGTGTAAGTGTTATTCGGGCACTCTTTTGAAAGAATGAAGATTTAACAACTTAAGAAAAATTCTATTCTGTGAGCCTCAATTCTTTATAGTGATATTCCCGTGGGTGTTTTGAGCCTTTGGATAAGTTTGAATAATGTATTTGTACTTTTTGGTAGATGGGGTCCCGAGAGGCTCGGGTATATTTTGGATCATTGACTGAGAGACTAGTTAAGTTAAGGATTTAGAGTTTGACCACGGTCGATATCGGGTCAAGACGATCTCTTTTCGGTGTTTTGGGTACGCGAGCATGTTTGTAGCGTGTTTTATGATTGAAATGCATATATGGTTTATGTTCGGCAGGTTCTGAATGAGTCTTGGGTGCTAAAAGGGGGATTTTGCAATTGCTGATTTTCTAGTGAATAATTCCGAAAATACAGGTTCTGTCCTTGAAATTTTTAGACTTCCTTTAAAACTTCAAAACATCATATATCCCTTATTTTAAGGTCAAATTGGGTGATTCAAAAGGCTATATTGGGTGTAATATTGCAAGAATTATGTTGGGCTTATCAAATGTGAGTTTCAGGATCGTCTAGCAACTAATTCGGGCTGGGACAACTGTTATATTATTTTTTTTACTTATTCCGAGATTTAGTTACTTTTTCTCACAAAGTTTTAGAGCTCAAGAAGAGGTGACTTTTTAGGAAGTTTTCACCTAATTCATTAGGGTAAGTAAACCTAACTCGAATTTATGATTATAGCATAAATCTATCATTAATTTTGGCTCTAAATCAAGGAATCTTAAAGAAGAAAAAAGGATTTTGGCTTGAAGGATAAGAAAGTGTATTTTAGGGGTTTTGGCAAAACTTTTCTAAAGTGAAAAATGGAGATTTAAACCCTGATTTGGAGTTGATTTTGGATAAAACTTGTATATTTAGACTCGTATTAGAATGGATGTTCGAGATTTGTGAGTTTTTTCGGGTTTTGGGGTGCGGGTCGGGTTAACTTTTGGGTTGACTTTATGTATTTGCATGAAGATCGAAGTTGTATTGTTTGGGATTGTTTCCTATGGCTTTGTTTGGTATTATTGAGTTGTTGTTTTTTTACTAGATTCGGGCCTTTCAAAGGTCGATTCGCATGGAAAGGCATTTTTAGAGTATTGATCTGGCTTGTCTGAGGTAAGTATCTTGTATAATCTTGCTGAGGAAATAACCCTTAGGATATGACTTTATTTGCCTAATTAAAATGTATTAAAAGCGACGTATATGCGAGGTGACGAGCGTATATATGGTTGCTATGTATGATTTTTACCAGAATAGTTTTTAGGTTGTACTACGCCTTGATTTGGATAGTGTGATTCTTGATATCATGCTCTACATATTTGTATGACTACATGAACTCCGTGAATCATGCTAGAGATCATGTGTAGGAGTTGATTCCATGTTAAGCATAATATTTTTTGTTGTATGGCGTACCCGCTTAACTTGAGTTGTTATAAAATACTTCGCACAAGCATAAACTGTATCATATTATTTGTCAATCCATGAGTACGTAATTTGATATTCGTTGAGGGTATACATGTACTTTTGTATATGTTTTTTTGTGATGGATTGGATTGACAGCACGTGAGTTATCCGTGCGCCATTATGGTTATGGCACGTGAGTTGTCCGCACGGCACGTGAGTTGTCCATGCATGGTGTGGATAAGGATTCATCCCCCGAAGGTCAGCCTATCATATTTCTCTCTTGATGGTGTACATGCGGGTTGTAGAAACCGACGGGTTTTTGGTTGACGTGAAACATGGTAAAATGTTCATTGGTTGGACTTTGCATCTCTTCTCTATTTGCAAACTGCTTGGATGTATACATGATTTTTCACTGCATATCTTCTCTATATGCTAGTTCTGAGATGTATACATGCCTTATATATATATATATATATATATATATATATATATATATATTCTCTATA